ATTTTATTAAAAACTTCGGCCCTAAGTGGTCCTAATTCAATCGCCAATTTTCACTGTCACTGTCTTTCCTCTTTTTCTTACTTTCCAAAATCATTGTTCTCGAAACTCTGTTTCGCTGTTCCGCCAAACAAGTGGACAATTCTTTCAACTCCGATTTCACTGGGTGCACGTACCAGAAAATTATTGCCGAAGAAAAACCGGAGGAGTGACGGATTGTTTCCCAGCCGTGTGGACGTTGTTCCACGATAGTAGTCAAGCTAGAAAAGGGTGCGCGAGTAGAAACGTCGACGATAGTTGTCTGGGAACGATATTTGGGGGAAAGTGACTGGTAGCGGACACACAGGAGCAGCCATAGTTCGTGGAAGGTACTCGGGTGAAGAGGTGGTCGATCGTCTGGAACAGATTCCGATAGAAACTCGGATGACAGATTATTTCCATCGATCTGGAATGGACATTGTCCGCGAAAGTAGTTGAAACAGGAAGGATATCCCCGGAAACGTCCGCAGTAGTGAACTGGTCATTAGGAAGTGTTTTGGCGAAACTAACCGCAGTGCCGACCATAAAACAGATAATCAACGGAAATCTAGCTGTTCGCGCAGACTGTTTCTGTTCTATTCCGGCGATCAGTAGAAAAGTAGGAAAATGAGAAACTAGATTCGACAATATTCTTTGAAAATAATCGCGGTTTAAATTTTAGATTTAAACGCGAAATTTTGCGGACTCCGTTCGCGCAAAATTAAAAAATGCAAAAATGCACAAGGCGCGCGTAATGTGCGCAAGGACGCAATTACGCTCGTAAAAATATAAATTTGCGTAATAATCGACGATCGACTGACGAAAGATTTGATTTCTTTTGAAATAAGATATCAGAGTTGGGTGAAATGTTCTTTCACAATAGTATTTAAAAACAGCAATTTAATAAAAATTTCATGTGAGAAATGCTGAAAGTATTTATATTAGGCTCTGAAATATTTTTCTATGTTATTTTCATGTGTTTCATTCATTTCAAATATTGTTGCTAGAAATGTAGAATTGATCTATTATAATACTGTCATGTTTCGTTATACAGAGTATCAATGTTTAGACTGTGTTTAAAAATCATTGTCTTAGAATATGTATCTAATATTAAGAGAAAATGATTAATGAATTAATAATAACAATAATAAATAAATACTCTTAATGCATTTACGTATTTACATATATTAAGATTGTCGTTGATCGCGCTATTTTTTTTCCTTTATTTCATCTCGTATTTTATAATAATAATAAACTCAAAGATTAAATAATAAACAATTAATACCGGGACAAAATTGATTAATTAAACACAACTGAAGAACACGTACAACGCTGTTTTGGGTTCAATTCTGATTTAACTACTTAATGCTTTAATTTATGATCGTATTAAATCACGAATGTTACTATGCACAGATACGTAACTCTCCTCTGTACTGATTTATCGCAAGATCTGCATTAGAGTAAGCTTTTTCACGCGAGAGATCAAGTGAGTGACAAAAATCCGCCGGTATTTCTCGAAAACCGAGAACAATTGTAATTCAACGTTTCGCCGTAAACTTTGTTTGTTATCTCGTTTATATATATCCGGGAAATTCGCTCGGCCAAGCCCATAATATAACGTTCCCTCGTCTCCACGTCTCGAACTAATTTAAAATTCATGGCAGAAATAAAAACACGTAGCCCTGAATCTCCATTACGGAATTAGAATTCAGTTTCGTTTCTTTCTTTCGTCCATCTGCTGAAAATTCCACTTTTTCTTCCCTTCTCTTTTTCAAACGTTGCCGGATTGTTGTCTTTATCAAATTAAAACGCCGCGGATCTCATTTTTTCGCGTAGGATTGGACAGGCACGAGGCAAATGAATAATTTCATCCCTACGACTCTCATACACTCCCTTTGCACGAGTTTTCCATTCACTCGTGAAAATTCTATTTTTCATCTTTACACGGATATTTATCTTCGTTCTTATTCGAATCTAGCCACCATCACGAGGTGTTCCACAGAGTTTGCGTTAATAATTTCACCCTGATGGTGCGTAAAATTGTCGCAGATGAAACGGCTGAGTTTTTAATGAAATTATTTTAACCAGCTTCAGTATCAATAACTCGTAATAACAATGTAATGTAACGCGTAATAATATCATTCATATTAACAATTACTAATTGCTAATTAATGTAATATATGATACTTTAGTTTATACTAATAGATGTACATCTTCAACTTTCTTGCACATATCTTAAATTGAATTATAATTAGATTGCTGATTTTTGTACATTTATGGAAGAGTTAGTCGTACAAATATGTATGTACGTATGTGTGCCGCATTTAAAGTACAATACTTTTTATTATGTGTATTTATCATGTAAAAACAATTTTCTGAGTTCCATTTCCTTCATAAAAATGTAAAATTACATGAACATTGTAGTACAAAATTTTCGTCTATTGTAAGACAAAATAGATGATTATCACTAAATATGCTGACAACAAGAACAAGCTTCGTCAAGCTATAAATAAATAAAAATCATCCAACGTTCGAGGATCCTCTGAGCCAAAAGGCACATATTGCAACGTCCTTCAGTATCATCTTCGCTATTAATTATCAGGCTAAAACTTCACACGACAAAATAGCGTAAACAACGCAAGACCAGACAGATCGTGAGTGTTCCTCTTTCCAACTTCTTAGCTCCCCCTTTCTCCCATCCTCAAACGCAACCCCCGCCCCGAATCAATCAGCCTCTAATCTCCCATCGAGCACGCGCCTGAATTTAACAGGCAAAGAGACAGGAGGAGCAACGTTGAAAATTGAAGAGGGAAGAAACCCGTGGAAAGGAAACACGCGAAACCGGTCTGAAGGTTTTTCAAACGGGCAACGGCTGTGAGCGACTTTGCCCGCTGCTTTCACGTGCAATCGGCCGCCTGATAAAGAGACCTGTTCGCGTACGTGGAACGGCGACTGTGGCGTTGAACGATAACGACAGACGAGCACAGGGTGGCGGGGAATGGGGGGAGGGGAGAAACAGAGAGGGATGAAAGACACACACACACACACACACACACACACACACACACACACACACACACACACACACACACACACACACACACACACACANCGCAGAGACGACCCGGCTGGAGTTACAGATTATTCGTGCACATTTACGCGACAGCCATTTCCAGGGTTGTTTCGTGGCGGGCTTGAACGCGGCCCGAATTCGCAGCTGAACCGCTATAATTTCGTGAGTTAAACGGGTGAATAGCGGGGCTCGGAGGGCGAGGGCGAGGGCGAGGGCAGGGTAGAATTGCCGGGTAGAGAGGGGGATGAGAGACAAGTTTGGCGGAGAGATGCCGGGCGGGAGAACACTTTTGGCCTGGGAACTTTGCTCGTATATTATGGGGAGCTCGTGGTAATTGATTTTGTGCAATCGTGTTAAACTGGAAGTAGGTTTCGTCCCCGGAAATCACGGTATTGTAACGCGTGTTTGTGACTCCCGGGCCCCGGGGGTTTGCTCCTTCCTTCTCCTCCTCCTCCTCCTTGTCCTCTTCTTCTTCTTCAGCCTGGTCGGTGTTCGACCCTCTAAATACGCTTGGAAATACGTCCGCGTCACGAGGTTATTGCCAATAAGATGCCGGCGTTCCTTCGCGTTCCGATATCCACCCGCTTTATTTATATTACGAACGTACGGACATTTTTCCCGGCGTGACGTTTAACGTTCCTCGTTCGATGGAGAAGGCCCGAGAAACAATCGCTGCGTTTCGCACAGAGGTGTCACGTAGCAGCGAAATCTAAACGGTCAAAATGAGAAATTTCAGAGGGGTTTCTCAAAGGGTTAAAATAGTCTCAGGTCGCGATGGAAAGTGAAAATCTTTTTTCGTTAACGAGGGAAATTCATTTCGATTCATTACCTACAATTGCGGATTTCTACGCAAATTTTTATCAAACGTTACGAGCGTTGTAATTTAGATATTGGACGATTGAGAAAGTTCGTAATTATCGAAGGATAAGACCACGAGTCATCGGACGTTGTTGACTCGTATTGTTTTGCACACGAAAGAAATTCTTCAATATAAACAACGAGGAATTATACTTTCGCCGTGTTATGCTGTACGAGTTTCGACAAGAAGTAAGTACGACACAGGTGTTTGTTTTGGTGTCGTGTCGCGTAATTATCGAAAGACGAGACCACGAGTCATTGTGCCATCAGACGCCGTTGACTCAAGTTGTCTTGCACACGAAAGGCGTTCTTCAATATAGACAACGAAGAATCACATTTTCGCCGTGTTACGCTGTACGAATTTTGAAAAGAAGTAAGGGAGGGAATCGTAACGAAAAAGCATTCGAGACGTGCTCCTGCTTTCCGAGTTAAAATTTCGTTTTATAAACGATGATTTAACCTGGACGATCTTCCGAAATATTGATACGATATTATACGTGACTTGGTAGGGAATTAGATAGAGATTACAACTATATAACTGATTAATAGAACTTTGCATCTTAGTATATTGTACGAATTCTATGGACATTTGCAGCTGTGAATTTTGCACAAATGGATGCATAAATTCGCAGTCTGGTAATGACAGAAACTTTATTTCGATTGTATAATAGTTATCGGTTATAGTTATGGTTAATAACCCTTTGTTCCAGAGTATCGTACAGATAATCTGAGCTGGTTGAAACAACCAAATAGATACTCTATTATATATTGAACAAATATATCAAAAATAGATACACACATGTTTAGAAAATGGTCCTCGCTCAGTATTAAACGTCTACAATTTTCATAATTTTAAACACTCGAAGTATTAATAATATTACTATTACCATTATTATTATCCTACGATATATATTATATAATTATTACTAATATTATTAATGGTGAATTACTATATAATCGTTAATAATTACATCAATCTTCACGCGATCAATCTACACACGTAATTAACAATTAGCAAAATTTCTAATCAAATTTCGTTGAAACTTCATTTCAGACGTCGGAAATAGTGAGTCATGCCAAGCCAGTAACCAAGATCCGCATGCATCTGAACCGAAATCAGTGGCAGCCAAGTGTCGTTTCTTCAACGCCGGACAACACTGGTAAGTAATCAAAGAACAGAAAGACGCGTAGTCTCGTTGGGCACTGGTATCTCGATTGTTTTCTGAAATATACATCCGCAACGCGACGGTTGATGAATGGCAGCGGATGGAGTTGCCGGAAATATGGCGGCCTACATTTTTTCTTTTTTCTTTTTTTTTTTTCACTTCCTTTCTGGAAACGCGTACACGCAACAGCACGGCGGTAAAGGGGAAAAATCCAGCCAGCTCAGCGTCTGGCGCTGACCACCGGCGCAGACGATCGGCCACGGGGGTTAGTTCGATACACAGCCGTGTGGCTGCGGGCATCAAATCCGCCAAAAGGGACAAAGAGGATATTAAAAGCGTGGCTTTGAGCGTTAAAAGTCACTTAACGGGAAGATGTAATTCGCGGGGAAATTTCCTACCTCATTGAACCTGTCGATCATCCGCGGTACTTTGTGATAATCTTGTAACAAAAAGTAATTTGCGATAATTGTCCGGAGACTTTCTTTCTCCTTTTTTTTTCCGGTTTGTCGACGAGCTCGAAGTACGTTGCTTTTTGACTTTTTTTTTTTCTCTATACGTGGAATTTTTATTTGATCAAATTGATGGAATTTTAATTTATACGTGGAATTTGATTTCTCGAGATGGTGGCGAAAAATTTCGATTAATTTGAGTTCCTTTGAAAAATCATCGAAAAATCTGAGAGTATATCGAGCAACACTAAGGGAAGCGTAATGTGTAACGAATTAAAAATTCAATATATTGCAATACATTGTTCTTTTTTAATGTCCAACGAAGGAATTAATTATTTCAAGTATGTCGGATTATCTGTAAAATACTCTAGCACGGATTAAACGCTCGAAGGCTTAAACTTAGATTTATAATTGGTAGTATGCAGAATAATTCGGGCGACAGTAACAAGCAATATTATTTTGCTGTTGAAATGGGAGAGAAATGTGTTGGAGGAAGAAAATGAATGATCCGGTATGGATTATATATTCACGATCGTATTTTTTATCCAAGTTTTAATAATGCATGTATATTTTACATATTGTATTATTTTTTCAATTGGAAATCTTTGTTTCTTTTTTTACATGCATTAAATCCTCTCGTCATTCTATGCAAAAGAATATTTTAATATGGTGAAAAATTGATGAATTTAAGAAATATTTCAATTTTTATTTTTTATCCGCAAAATTGAAACTACAATCTATCTTTTGAACTCAGTGTATACGAAAGACGAATATTCCCATTTTTAAAAAAATAATACAAAACGCATACGTTATTATATCCTACCTTTTATTTTCTCATCTCTTGTATTATAAACTCAAGATTAAAATATCATTTAAACTAGCTATTTTTCCATCATATTATGCTATAACAAGAAAACTTGATGTACATATATAAAAATAATGCAACTAGAAAATGTACATACGTTATTATACTTTATTTTTTGTGGAACTTCTCTTGTAGTACAAAGTCAAAATTGAAATATAATTTAAACTAGTTATTTTTCCATCATATTACTTTCAAATTATTTTATAACGTATGATTACAAGACAATTCGATATAAAAAACATTCCCATTAAAAAAAAAATAATTGCAGAATGTTGTGATATACTCTATTTTAATGGAACTTTTCTTGCTGTATAAAATCAAAATTAGTTATTTTTCCATTATATTATTTCCAGTTCCTCTTCAATAATAATACAAACAAGAAAACTCGATACATATATAAAAAAAAAAAAAAGAATGTTGCCATTAAAAAAAAGAAAAACCGACGACTGTAACACATACGTTGTTACATTTGGAAAAATGGCATCATCGTCAACGTAATATACTCCATCTTGAACATTCATATTTTCCCCCAGTCTCTTCACATTCTCTCACGAAAGAAAGATAAAACTTGTTACATTTACGAGCCATACTTGCGTGTGTATATACACACACACACACACGATTGGTCACGTCGCACGCGTGGCTCTAGAGAGAAAGTTTCCCGAAAGTGGCCGGTCGCCGTCACGAGGGCAACTTTCCTCGTCGTCCGATAAAGGAAGGATTTTTATTATCTTTCCCCGATAACCGGCCGAGCTGTTCCCGCCATCGTGTTCCCCCGGACCGGCATCGGCTAAAGTGGCCGCGCCGGCGGTGTCGTTAATCCAATTTCTCGGATTAATTAAACGGAGGTTGGTTCTCGTTAAACTACTTCGTGCTGGAATCGAGGGTGTCGGTTTGGTTATACACCTCGTTTGGGACGAGCTACCGATCGTCCCGCTTGCCGTACACCATCATGCAAGAATCTTGGCCTGTCCTAATGGCACACGAAACTTGCCTCGGAACGACGCGCTAGAATATTCCACGAGTACGTGACTATCCCTTTGGATTCCCTCGGATTCCGCCGGGACACTCGTGAGTTTCGTATTATTTCGTAACGCTGTGATTTGTAACGTCGCGCGCGTGTTTGTTCGAATACGAGGTTGTCAAAAGCACCGGGAGGCGGGTTCAATGGGGTGGAAGAGAGTGGTTGATGAAAATGATTTCTTTTTTTCTGTTTTATTCGCTTGTTTTTTTATTCCATTGATTTTAGAATCAATATGGCATTCGGCGGCAAATGGTCGATTTTACAAACGTGTAAAATTATTCGGGGTTTGTAGCGACTGAAAGTGCTGCTCGACGTTATTTATTCGCCGTCCATTCAACCCATCGGGCAACAGTTTATCGTAACGCTTCGATTTCTTTAGAAGACTTTGTGAAATTTCGAAACCTAGTTTGGAGAATAATAGAACGAAAAATATTCGGCGAACCTTTGGAATTTTCTCTTTCGTAGCTACGATGTTGAAGGAATAGGATTCGATAATATAATAAAAGGCCTGACAGAATTGTAAATGTTAACGTAACGTTGACCTTTGACAGATTAAAGATTAAAGCATAGCGTACTAGTAAAGATGGATTATGTATCAAGATGGGGATGATCATCAAATATCGGTGAATTTTTTATGAAACTTGGAACTTCAATCTTACGAAGTAAAAGATTCTCGTGTCATTAATAAAAGTTCTCAAAAGGCTGCATTAACGGGAACAGACGGCTTCCCATTTACGTGAAAAATTTCGATTAAAAAGGGAAAAGTAAAATGCATCGAGTCTGACGAGTCGAAGTATTTGATTAGCATTATTTTCAAAAGTTGGAAAGTTCTTTTAAGTTAAAAAAAAAAAAAGAACGATAGCTTCTTATTATGGTTTTTATTAAAACTTTTATTAAGAATATGATCACTTCGTCAACAAGAGTCTAGATCTTGCAGGTTTCCTCGTAGATGTTCGCTTTAATAAAGACTAAATAGTACAAAAACTTTTGCATTCAATGGCTTCAATCGCCCGAAGCTATTCAGAGGTATCATTCATATAAAAATCTATAATTTTATATTTCTTAAAAATCTATAATTTTATATTTCTTAAACCACTCTTGTCGCGTTCTTCTTGACCCAATATTAACCCTACATACATTTCACAAATTATTCTGCATTTATTATACAATTTAATGAGCCGTCGCCTCGATTCTGTTTCTTTAATTAATACTTAATCTTTAATTAAGATTTTAAAAATTAATTTCCAAAATAAGTAATAATAAAGATAGTAAACATAGTGTCTGAAACATAGTATTCATCATAAGATCTAACGATTGATAGAAAGTTTTCCTTTTATTTTCTACATCCTCAGTCTATAAACGTATGAAATTGCACGAAGATTCGTACGACGATAAACATTATTTCTAATAACTGCGAACTGTTGGAAACTTGTAAGTACAACGAGGCACACTTAATATACACGGAGTCATAATTAAAATTTAACAGAATTCTAGTGATTAACTCGTACGTATCACAGCTGTGATTAACGTTAATTTCGTCACGATAGGTGACGAATACCAAAATTCACGAAGGTGAATCGCTCGGAAACATTTACGAAGCGTCACGTCCGAGGGATCTTCGCGTATTTCGTTAAAGGAGATTTTCCTCCTTGCGCCGCGCATCGCGGCGTGCTCCGATGGATTATGGACGGTTGAAAAGAGAAAGAGAGGAGAGATCGATTCTCTCTCGGGAAAATAATCCCCGCGAAGAATGGACGGCCGCCATTCTTCTGACCGATTTTCTTCTTTCACGAGCGTCCCGGGCGATCCGTAATTTTCGTGCGCGAGAGGCCGCGCAGTTTCATTCGCCCAGAGCTGATTGGTAATTTTGTGGCGGTGGTTTATCGCGTTGCCTTGCCGAAAATACTTTGTTCGCTCGACGGAATTTAACGCGCAGCATGGCTCGAGTATTCCATCGAACACCGTTTCCATTCAATGACTGTGTAATTCTGTAACTGTTGCTCAACGATTTACTCGTCAAATATCGTTACTTGACTATTTTTTGGTTTCCTATTTTTGCGAAATTGCCGCGGCGATCCATAATTTTTCAACCGTGCACGCAGAACAGTGGCTGGCAGCCCGATTTATTCGAACACGGCTGATTGGTAATTTCGTAACGGCAGTTTATCGCGTTGCTTTCGTGAAAATACCCGCGAAACGATATTTCATTGTGTTCTGTGGGAACGGCAGAGCGGAAAAATTCGCGTCGATTGACCACCGAGTTTCAAAGTTTGACACTCAGCTTCCCAGAAACGCACGTGCATATCAATACGATTGTTTATCGAACAATTAATGAAAATTAAGACACAGAAACGACCCTAACGATGATGGTAATTAATTAATTTTACCTTTATTGCTGTTTTTCTAAATGATAGTTAATGTCGTTCGCTTTTTTAAATTTCGTTCAGTTTGTCCGATCTTTCTGTTCTGCGTGATAAATGCTTGAATTTGAATTTATTCTGCCAAATTTGTATCCAATAATTTACATCTACTGAATTTAAATCGTACTTAATTATACTTACATTTATATATATTTTGATATATATATTCGTATTTAAACGAACAGATTCAAACTGAAATCTGACTAAAATTATATTTAAATTTGCCGAAAGCGAAT